GTTCGCGACCTGATCCTTACGCCTCCTTCTACGAATCCGTTCGACGTACTTAAAGCTACACTCACCGAGCGAGTGTCCCTTTCCAAGCGTCGAAAGATCCAACAACTCTTACAGGCTGAAGAGTTAGGGGAGTCCCAAAATCATCGCAACTGCTCCGACGCTTACAACAATTACATGGTACATCCGGCAAAAAGCTTCTTCGTGAGCTTTTCCTACAGCGCCTGCCTTCGAATGTCCAGATTGATTTGTTATCATATCCAGACAAACCGTTGGCTGACTTATAGCATTGATGGCTGATGGAAAGATAGAGCTAACCGATGCTCGCCCATCCATTGCCCAGATTGAAACACCCGAGTCAGCAGAAATCTCATCAATCAGATCTGATCTCAATAAAGTTCTCACGCTTCTTGACACTGGAGCACGGAAACTTGCTGCTGACCCCAAGTTGGTCAAGGAAGGTCTCTGTTGGTATCACACCCGATTTGGTACACAGGCTTCGAAATGTCGTCAACCCTGTACCTATACCGCACCGGGAAACGGTCAAACGACAAGCCCGATCACCAGTAGAGGCGCACGTGACCGGGGGTTCCTCAAGCCACCTGTTGAATGTGACGGACAAACATTCAAAAACTCGGTTTCTAATTGATACAGGTGCCGAGGTCAGTGTTTTCCCAGCTACGCAACATGACAAGCGGTATTGCAGAAGGAGGGTTTCTCTGACCGCGGCTAACAATTCGACAATTCATACCTATAGCAAGCGTGAACTTTGCCTGGACATTGGTCTTCACCAATTTTAGGTGCTTCCTACGGTATATTCGGGTGTTGGTTGATGTTGCCAAATCTTGTCTCGTAGATGCAGCAACATCAATGACTGTCCCTGCACAGACCTCACCATTCCGTTCCCTTTCTCTCAATCGCATATCGCTAGCTAAACCCACCAATGGGTTCGATACCATTTTTGCTGAGTTTCCAGCAGTCTGTAAACTCCGCATCACCGATCCAGCTGTTAACCACAATGTTCAACACCATATTATCGCGGCTGGACCGCCCACTTTTGCGAAGGCTGGACGCCTTTCTCCTGAAAAATTCGCAGCTGCAAAAACCGAGTTTTACCAGATATTGTCTTCTCACACGGTGTGCAAATCATCAAATAACTGGGCATCCCCACTTCATATGGTCCCAAAGTCGAATGGTGACTGGCGCCCCTGTGGTGACTATCGAGCTCTCAATGCAGCCACTAAACCAGACCGTTACCCTGTGCCTCACGTTCAGGATTTTTCTGCTCGCCTTGCTGGTTGTAAAATCTTCTCCAAGATTGACCTGGTTCGTGCATACCATCAAATTCCTGTTGCTCCTGAGGATGTCTCTAAAACAGCAGTCATTACACAATTCGGCCTTCTTGAGTTCAAACGCATGCCATATGGACTGCGCAATGCGGCCCAGACATTCCAACGATTCATGGATGAAGTCTGCCGTGACCTGGAATTTGTGTTTGTATTCATTGACGACATCCTGGTTTTCAGCACTACGCCTGATCAACATCGCCACCATTTGCGCCAGCTTTTTCAGCGACTGGAGCATTACGGCTTAGTCATTAATCCTAAGAAGTGTGAGCTTGGCCGTGCACAGTTATCATTCTTAGGTCATCCTGTCAGTGCCCAAGGGATTTCCCCTCTTTCATCCCGCATCCAAGCTGTTGCAGAATTTCCTCAACCTGTTGACAAGAAGAAGTTTCACAGGCAGTGGCGTAGCCAGCACGACAATTTAGTCCCGCTATGCAAATTCAAAATTATTATCCTTATTCATTTCTTTAGAAATTGATTGTTTTCACAGTCAATGAACACGAAATATTTGCATAGCGGGACTAAATCGTCGGGCTGGCTACGCTACTGTTCACAGGCTACATCCTTTGCACAAACTATTATCCTCTACCAATTTTATTTGGTCTCCAGAATGCGAGGAGGCATTCCAGTTCTGTAAATCCGCCTTAGCTAGTGCAACACTGTTGGTTCATCCGCATTATAATGCACCAACCAGTATAACATCTGATGCCTCAGATCTAGCTGTGGGAGCCGTCCTTGAACAATTTATCGATCATGATTGGCGCTCCATCGGCTTCTTTTCTCGCAAGCCACACATCCCATGACACCTGTTCCTCCCGATGCAATGAACTACTCTTGCCAACGGTACTGCCAACACCATCGTTAACGACACGTTCTGGCCGTATGGTACACTTACCAAGATGTTACCGCACTGGGTGGGGGGGGGGGAGGGGCTTGTAAGGGAAAAATGTTACCTGGTCAGCGGCTTAGTCAGACAGAATTAATTTATGATAAACTTCATGTTAGAACGATATTAGGTCTCTCGATCGAACGAAAAATATTTGTAGATAGTAAACAAAGTGTGTTGATAAAATCAAGATATTTTATACTATATACAGTGTGAATTCTACAATCGATTTTCCGCTTATTGTGTCTTAGTTACCTTAATTAAAAAAATTCAATCATAAATACACAAAAAGCACGCTATCTGATTGATCTAAATTTAATAAAACTTGGGCTGAGTGAAGAAAAATTCGAGTAGGCATTGAATTATTGATATTTTAGGGGTTTTTGTGCCAAAACTTTGTTTTCACCATTCATGGAGTGTAAAATATATCTTCTATCATAATCGCGAGTCGTTCTAGTGCTTTTAAACTATAATTGAAGTTGTTTGAGGAATTAGTAAAAAAAATTATCATTCAAAGATCGTGGTATGAGCATTTCTTGGCTCACTTGTCTTGGCTAATAAGCGAAATCACACATTGGGATATTTTTATCAAAAAGCCGGGTATTTGGACTTGTTACCTGCCAGTTTCGCGTAACATAGGCCTTGATAGGACGATTTAATTTGGTTTTGTTTGGTCCCTCTTTGTGAGACTCACTTGTTGTGAATCCCATGGTCTAAATTTATTAACTGAATAAAAAATTTTAAATTCTGAAAAATCCTCATAGTATTCAACTTAACTATCGAAAACCAAAAGGAAATTTGGCCTGAAAGTTAGAGAAAATGTGTCATCGTATAATAATGCAGGCAATTAAGAGGAGATTTTTTTGTATGTTACGTAACACGCGCTCAAAACTAATGCAATACTATAATATAATTTATTATATAAACATAAGTGTTATATAGAGTTTTTGGCCACTGAGAAAATTCATATTTAAACACACGTAAAAAATACGAAATTTTTACGTGTGAAAATATCACTTGTTGTAAAACGCATTGCCACGGACGTTTTATTGTTTTTCACTGAATTTTGTTTATATAACAAACAGAAAAATACATGGGTGCTTGGAAATACCAGATTTATTTCGAGTGTTGAACATGATATCTCACTCGTTCGCTGCGCTCACTCGTGAGATATCATGTTCAACACTCGAAATAAATCTGGTATTTCCGCGCACCCATGTATTATTCTCTATATATCACTTGAGGTTATGACTAAATTCAAAATTTCTATATTTTTCGATACGTTTCTCAATCGGCAAAACAAACTTAAAAAGTATGTTTAGTGCTTTATTTGTAAAATAATGCTAAAAGGAAGAGATTTTAGACGATACGCCAAAGAGAAAATGATGTCTGAAGTTCAGTAAGTTTTGCTTATATGGCTGTAAACATGGCATCACTTTTAAAGCATCATTGATAATTGATAATTGTATTTTAATTGACAATTTTTAACTATTATTTTATGTTTCTCAACCGGCAGATGCATTTAAAAAGGTAGCTAACTCTATAAACTAGAGAGTAAAGCTAAAACAAAGTAATTTTGAGAGGAACGCCAAAACTATTTTAGGTTTTGAACACTTTTCATTGCAAATACATGACATTGAAAAAAATTGCCTCTTAATTTTAGCTGTGAAATTTTTTACACTGGCCTAATGGCAATGTTGTCAAAGCTATATATATTATTTCAATTCAAAGTCATCCTTTAAAGAAACTGAAACATTTCACGTAAGTGCATGATATTACTGTCTTATATACATTGCAGTTGCCAATGACGCTTTAAGTACAGTCGTACCCGCCAGATCCATTTCCTGGACTTCCTTCACACTGGTCATCTTTCCAAGTTTCCTCTGGTCTACGACACGAAATGAATGACCATGGAGATGCATTGGATGACTAGCATCGAAAATAACACCCTCGTCTATTATCACAAACTCCATTACCTTAACATACCAGAAATAAAATATCTTTATTACCTGAAGATGGAGTAACACTGAAACGTTGTAAACAGTAAAGTTGTTCAATTTTTAAGCATTTGTGGTCGTTGTTAATTCCAAGAAATAATACAAAATGAGGCTTAAAGACAGTTCGATATTAAACTGAATTATTAAAGAAATAAAACATTTGTTTATTGAGGTTGGGCTGTATAAATCACGTGTATGATGCATGGGAAAGGTGTTAAATACGTGACTTTCATACAGAGGGTAAAAATCCGGAAAATTGGGGGATAAAGGTTGCTCAGGATATATATTTGAGGGGTTACAGGATCAAACTACAAGTTACAATACAGGAATATTCCGTGACACGTTTAATATGCTAAGGGAGTGGTCATTATTTATGGGGAGGGGGGGGGGGTTGGGAAATGGGGAAAATAAGGATTGAAAACTTTTTTGACCCCCCCCCCCGCTCCAGACTGAAGGTAAACTTTTTGTGCCTCCCCCCTCATAAAAGTAGAAACTTTTCTGACCCCCCCCGTGTCGATTGAAAAATTAACAGCAACGAAACAGGTGTGCGTTGCAGGTAAAGTTAGATATTAGGACATCTGTTTAATCTAGCTCATGATGTTTTACCCTGGTGAATATGATTCAACCATATATGATTAAAAAATATATATTATGTGTTACTACTTTGCAATGCAACATTTGTCCTACCATAACCCTAACCCATGACCCGTCTTCATACAGCGAAATTATTTGAACACAGGTTTTTTTTAAGAACTTGTCTGGGGGGTGGGCATCTACAAAAAGGGACCATACTATATTGAGTGTGGAGAGATGACAGATGGTTGTTGGTTACAAAAAGTTTGGTGCGGTATCATATGTACTAGTAGGGGTGTCTGGGGGAATTGTCCCCCAGAAAATTTTTTGTATTTTTCCACCCCTAGAACTGAAATGTGAGCATTTTCTGAAACAGATTTTTGGATATACAGCGTTATATTGTGCGTTGATAGACCGAATCTGATCAGTTAAGTGTACTTGCATGGTATGTTTATGTAAATACCACAACTGGGTCACTCAGGGGGTAGAAAGCTTGTTAAACTTAGTGGGCCCGACTCCCACGATCGCGAGGCGCTACCATGGTTGGCGCCGAGCAGGGAAATTTTGAAAATTTCGAGTCTCTAGATCGTTGGAAATAGCATTTTCAGAGTCTTCTTTTTTGCTATTTGTGATTATAGAAATCAGAACTCTAGACATGGTATTTAAGTTCAAAAACTTTTATGACCCCCCCTTTCTCTGTGTTAAAACTTTTTTGACCCCCTCTATTTATAAGGGTAAAACTTCGTTTGCCCCCCTCCCATTTCCCCCCCTCCCCATAAATAATGACCACTCCCTAATTCTGGGTTATTTGTGTAACTGTATTTTACTATTTTAATTTACAAGGTAAATCTTGTTAATTTGGCTGTTTAAAAATCATTTACATAACATAATTAAACAATGTATACGACCCGGCTGGGCTGCTCGTGGTTCTCTTATTTTCAGATAGTTTGATTCTGTATAATTCTCTCAAGAATATTGTTCCTCGCTACTTACACTAGAGCCCAACATTAAACATTTTATTTTATCATATACATGAAGTATGTAAGCAAGCAAGCAGGCAAGCAAGCATATTAAGTGGCCAAGTGGGGGTATGCTAATCATCCTTAGTTGCAGCTGAAAGATAAGCTAGATTGCGAAGAACGCAGCTCAAACTGATCGAGCAAATCTAACCGAGGCTTCATCTAAGCACGCCTCTGACAGCCACGTTATGGCTCATGTCTAATCATGGAGCGCAGTAACGGTGGGAGGGTCAGTTAAGGAGTTAATCCCAACCAACCCTGTTAACATTAATATTCTCTGTGGGAAGAAACCGAAGTGCTAGAAGGACACCCACAACCCCTTGGCCATGATCATGAGTGCTGCCATGATTCCGCAGCGAGAATCAAACCCCACGATGTCAGATCTATAGAGGTGAAAGGCGCTTGATCTGAAGATTGCGCCACCGAAAGCCCCTTACTTAAACTACTGACAATCGTCATAACACAGTAACCTAAATTATCACTATGTTACTGTACCTTTCCAATTTCAACATGAATAACATGTGTACACTCACAATGTTTCTGAGAACAGTTCAGTTTCTCAACATCCTCTGGTGTACATAGATCAGTTCCACTTGCAACGACGTCATCATATTGACTAAGAGGAGGGACTGAGGGCAAAGAAAACGAAACTCCGTTCAGTTGCGGGGAGTAAAGGTGGTGGGAACGAGGAACCACACTTAATGGGTAGTACATTGGATCATAGAAGTGGGAGTTGTTAACTTTGTTGAAATCCATACCAAAGTAATATGTGTAGTCAGCTCTTTCTAGTGTCACATCATTAGGTTCTTGAAAGTAACACACAGAAATGGATTAAATGGAATGGTTAAATAAGTAATTAAACCCATTTAAAGCAACGAGTGCTTCAATAGCGCCCATCGCCCGTGAAACTAATAAATTGGTGACAGTGTGTTTAGGCCTACTTATGGACCCCCGTCTCCAGCTCATAAAAGGCGCCATGACGAACCCGCTAGAGGTGTGGACGGGGGATACTTTATAAGCATAATTATAAAAACCTTTCCTTTCGTAGTTCAACTTTGCGTACTTTTATGGTTTGCATACTTTTATCAAGCTGTTTGAAACTTGCTATCATTATTTAAACGTTTTCCTGTCCTTAACACAGTGAGACTACAATTTCATGTTCTTTCCTTCAGCGTGCTTGGTATTCTTGGCGTCCAATGATCAAGAGTTTAGGGCCCTGCAAATGACTCGGAGCGGTTTATACCTGTGGAGTTCATAAAAAAGTAAGGTATGTTTAATTCAGACATTTCTTCATTCCAAGGATTCATTGTCAATCCTTGACGATCCCA